CATGCAGAAAACAGCTGAGTAACTTTTTTGAAAAACACTCTAAAACCTTCAGGTGTAGGGAGACGTGTACTGTGGAAAATTTCAATCCAAAGAGTCAAAAGCTTGGCATGTTCATAAAAGGAACTGAAAGAAGTTTTTATAATAGAATGTGAGGACATTTTAATTGCAGAAATCCCTCCACATTCTGCCAGTAAGATATTAATGCACATTTCTTTGAGTTAATAGTTACACCAAATTTACATTAGTGAATATCCAAATGTGATTAAATACTCTGAGATCTTGTTAGGTATTTAGAGCAGGAAATGTCATTTACTATATATTTGGAGAGAGTTGGCAAAATAGGGTTTAATTTTGTTGTGGCCTTTAGGCATGATTGCAATATAAATGTTGTAGTAATAATAAGAGTAACAACAAGAAGAAGGTGTTACTAAACTGTAACCTATTAACTTCACCTTATTATATGGTAAAGACAATTGCACATTTGGAAAGTTCTCGTGTTTTCTGGTTTGCTACCAGGAACTATTAGTTCACAGGAGCCTTTGAGGCTGCAGTTTACAGATACAACTCTCTGATGTTAACAGTTACCTTGGGTTAACAGGTTCATCTTTGTAAAATGGCATGGATTCTCTCATTTACTTCTAAAATCTAACAGCGGAACAAGATACTGATGACTGGAAAGAGATGTTTTGTAGAGAGCAAACTGATTAAAGCCTCTGATAAATGGATATGGCAACAGTGCCTAAAAGCACCTCCACCTGTAGTCTCATGGTGCTAAAAAACATGAGCTGAGGTAAATTACTCTTTGTCAATGACAAGGAGAGGCAGTTCCAAAACAAACCTAGTCTGTTGATTTAAGAACAGGGTTTCTAACATTTGCTATTACTCTAATTTAAAGTAACATTTTTGGTACTTTGCAAAGGTATCTCTGTTTTTATTGGCTAACTCTAATAGTTGTATTTTTTTAAATGACTCCTTCAATGAATTTAACACAGTTTACCAATATTTCCAAACTGAGCATGGAAAAAACATCAGAATTATACTAGGTCAGGAGTCCTGAATGAAACCATCAACAAGCAGTAATAAACTGTGACAGCTGCCCAAAAGTTTTCAGTCTTGCTGTTCAAACATTGGATTGCAAGTCATAATACAGCGTTAACTTTGTTTGAAACTAGCCCAGCTAGCATGGCAAAAGGCAGAATTAGAATAGGTGTCAGTGGTTGTTGTTAGGAAAAAATCCAATATGGAGCAGTCAATCTCATGAACAAATGCAGCACCTCTTGGACAGACACTGGAAATTGTTTAATATAACAAGCTCTCTTCACTTTGCACAAATCTGCATAAAATATATTGTTTTGATAAAAGGCATAAAGAATTCAATTTTTTCCCCCCAGTTCATGTCCTGTAAATCAATTAAAATATTTTTCTCTCCTCTTTCAGATCTATATAGATTTTGCCTTTTAACTGAGAAACACTCTTCTAATATTCTTGTCTGAAGTTTCTGATACACTGAGATAGTTTTAAAACCAAAATTCACTTGTTCCGACCAATATAGTAGTGCTTGACGTATCTTTTCCAACAGAGACTTTCTGTACTTTCCTGCTAGGTAGAAGAGTTTATCTGACTGCACTTCAAAGTCCTATAACGATAAACAGTTATGAAAGTATAACTGAATACTAAAAGAATAATTCAGTCCAGAAAGATCACCAGGAAGTATGGGCTTTTAGGAAACCCTTTTATTGAGTCACCATTTCTTCTATACATTTATATGATTCAGCTTAAAAATGAAGGAATAAAGATTTTTTTATCTTCTAACAAAATGACGAAGTTCAGGTTCTAAACTTATGTTACACATTTTCAAAGTCCTGGCAGACCTAAAGTTGTGACAGTTCTTCATGGAAAAGTGCTATAAAATCTAATAAAAATTTGACTAAAAGGGTATTACAAAAAATTACTCAAAAAATATAGACAGAATGTAAAAAGTCTGGGGATTTTTTTTATTCAGGCTACAGAGGATAATTGTTTTATGAAATTACACGTATAAAATAATTGTGAAATAATTCTGTAGGACACTTCCATTAGGACACACATGTATTCTCTAATAGCAACATTTTTTGTTATAGGCGCCCTGAAGTAATTCCATTTTCTAGTTCTTTCTTATTGTAGTGTTTGAACAATGGATTGCTTCTTCAACCAATAAATTATTTGTACTCACCCCCTTCTCAATGCTCCCTGTTTGGCAGAGAGTACCTTCAGCTGCTGGAATGCTGTTGGTAACACAGCGGTTACTTTTGCTGAGGCACCAGAGCTCTCTACACACTTCCTAGGAAAGAAGGCAGAAGCAAGTTGATCAGAATAAAAGCCTACAATTTCTTCCAGTCCTCATACACACAAATATACACCGATTTGTTTGGTACAGAGTCTATTAAGTTGGGGCAGAAATCTATACATGGCTGTGAAATACTCTGC